CTTCCGAAAAACAATTGCCTTGAAAACTGCAAGGACTCATCCAAGCAGTCACTGCAGGGTCAGCAATGACTGAGCGCAGACAAAAAAAAAAGGGGGGGGGTTAAAGCTTAGTATTAATAATAGTATATTAGGATAGCATATGCCCATGCATAGAAAGTCATCAGAATTGATGTTTTCTTTATGTGCTGTTGTTTTCTATTTTTTTTATGCTGGTCTTTGACTGAAATAAATAATGATACTGATACTGAGCCAAGACATATCAAGTTCAATCAGCTACAAGCACACAAACTGGTCTTCTTCATGAAACAATTCTTTTAGATTAATTTATAGGAAAATATAAGGATTACAAAGATGGTATTATGTTTTTTAAGTTCTCCAAATACTCAAGACTTAATCCTGTTCACACTAGATACAGTGCTTGTGTAAATTGATTCTTACTATACTATCTATTTTAGGCACTGTGCCAGATCTTTATTGCATGTTTATTTATTTAAAATATTTATAGGCCAACTTTTAGGACAAAACTTCTTTCAATATGCCTTTAAAATAAAATAGTATAAAAGAAAGCAATAAAATGCTTATAAGGCCAATAATAATACCCCCCTTCCAGTGTTAAAGTATGGACATACTTAAATAAAGCAATAAATCAATTCAGTAAGAGGCTTGAGAGAATAAATGTCTTTAGAGCTTTCTTAAAAGTTGCCAGGGATAGGGCGTTAATGAACCTCAATGACTACCTACCTTTTACTTTGTTCCAAGCATCTTTCATATCCTCTTTCTTTATATCCACTTTCCATCCATTCTGTTGGTAATCTATTTTCTAATTCTTTTTCATATAGGGTATACTTTCTCTTCCTGCAGTTATTCTAATTTCACTTGTTATACCATTTGTTTTCTTTTCTTCCATGCCTATATTTTCCCAAAATACTCTCTTGAAACCAACAAAATGCTCTGCCCTACATTCAGAACCTATCATCTATCATTAATCATTTCAATCTTTCATCATAAACAATCAAATCTATTATTGATTCATTTCTTTTCTATGTGTACATGAATAAAAATGCTTTAAACAAACTTTTTTCCTAAAAATCTGAATTCTTAGCTCTTCAAATGGCTCAATCACATTTTCTGTACTCTAATTCCTACCTATTCACTCATGCAACTAACAGAATAACAATTTTTCCCAGATCACATTGATTCAGACTTTTTTACAGTTTTCCCCAAAATACATTTCTAATTCTTCTGTTATCAGTATTCATGCATACATGAAGGGTAACATACAATTTTCACCAACTAATGAATTTCTACTTCCATATGCATACACAAGAATCTAGATGACACCAACTGATACTTTCTGACATACTTTTTAGCCTTTTCATTAATGATTAAGTCTGCATATTCACTTTTACTTGTTTTCAGTTTCATTCGTTAATTTACCTTCACTCAGATCTATTACATCTATTCCCTTTTTCTTACTTTCACAAACGTTCAACATCTCTATATTTCTTTCATTTCATTTGTTAATTCATCCTCTTTGCCATTTACTCTTCTTACATTCCAAGTAGCAATTTTCCAAATGTTAAGCTCATTACCAGAAGACACCACGGATAATGATCATACAACATCATGGCTTTAATCAATTAAGGATTTCACATAATAGCAACACTTTTTGGTAAGATAGAAGAGTTGCTGACTAGGTTACCACATTCAGTCATACCTGTGCCTCATGCAGCATTCCCTGAAAATATTCAGGAAAAGTAACGATCAGTTTGGTCACATATTGGCCAATATGCCACAAATGCACCCAAAATCCACGTTACCAAAGAATGTTCACACTACTCTACGCAAACTAGAGATGATCTTGCAAGCCAACTTAGTGATGCACACATACCACTATCCTGATAAACTGAAGTTACAGTTATTTAATATTTTACAGGTAGTCCTTGGGTTATGGTCATTCATTCACAGTTCAAAGTTACAATGGTGCTGAATGAATGGTAATTACAACCAGTCTTTGAAGTTCTGGCTGTTGCAGTACCCCCACAGGCACGTGATCAAAATTCAGGTGCTTGGCAACCCACTTGCATTTACAACTGTAGTGTGTGCTTCAACTACCTCCACCCCCCATCTCCACCCCCATTTCTACCCTTTTGGCCACTCTGCACTCCATTGCCTACCCCTGCTATGTAAGGTTCGCTGCATTCACCACCGAACAGAAACCTCATGAAGCACAGGCTTGGACGAAAGCTAGTTTATTCAGACGTAATGCGTAGCGGTTACAGACAAAGCCAGGATTGCCCTGGCATAGTTTCTTACACTAGATTTATAGGGTTCCCCTCTACCTGCATTACCCCTCGGTTCCGCCCTTTGCCCTTACCCTGGGCTACCCATCTGTCCTTTGCGATCTTCCTTTCCCTCGCCTTGATGGCAGATTCAACCAGTTTCTG